AAGAGTTCTGAGGCTTTGCCTGACATACTTTGGTCATGTTGTAAGGGGAGACCGTAGGCCGTAGATTCTTGGAGAAGGACATCATGCTTGGGAGGGTAGAGGGACGGCACAGAAGGGCAGGACTCTCTAGGAGGTGGATTGAATCAGTGACTGGGTCCAGGATGGGTGTGTCGGAGACCATGAGATTGGCACAGGACAGAGCAGAGTTTAGGACTGTTGTACATAGGATCGCTATAAGTGGCAAGTGACTCAACGGAACATAACAACAACATCATTAATATCACATGCAGGCAAGAGTCTACTGCAAAATGACTGAAACAGCACATCAACAGAGAACGGCCAGATGTGCAGGCTGGGTTTAGAAGAGGCCGTAGTACTAGGGATATTTTAGCTAATGTTTGATGGATCTTGGCTAAAAGCAGGGAGTACCTGAGGAATGTCTATCCATGTTTCATTGACTTTGCAAAGGCATTTGATTGTGTGTACCACAACAAACTGTGGCTGACTCTGAAAAGAATGGGAATTCCAGACACTTGATCGTGCTTATGTGAAACCTATTCTTGTACCAGGAGGCAGACATTCAAACAGAACAGGGAAACACTACATCCTTCAAAATTGGGAAGGGTGTACGCCAGGGATGTGTCCTATCTCCGTACCTTTTCAATCTATATACAGAACAGATTATCCAGGAGGCTGGGCTCTATGAGGAGAAATGTGGCATCAGGATTGGAGGAAGACTCATCAATATGCAGATGACACAACCCTTCTTGCTGAAACTGAGAAAAATCTGAAGCGCTTGCTGCAGACAGGCAAGAACTGCAGCCTTCAATATGGATTGAACCTCAACATCAAGAAAACAAAAATTCCCACCACTGGGTCAATTGGCAGCATCATGATAGATGGTGAAGAGATTGAGATTGTTGGGGGTTTTTTAAATTTTATTATTTTTTTGTGTGTACCATCAAATCGAATCTGACTAGTACAGGAGGAGGTTACTCCTCCTTCTCCAGCAAAGCATATGGTGGATTCAAACCACATACCTCTGAGATTGCAAAGATTGAGATTGTTAACAGCTTTAGTTTGCTTGGCTTCACAATCAACACTCTTAGTATCAGCAGCCAGGAAATTAAAAGATAAATTGCATTTGAAAAGTCTGCTGTCAGAGCCCTCTCCCAAGCACTGAAGAGCAATGACATCAATCTGGAGACCAAGGTGTGCCTGATTCAGACCATTGTTTTTGCAGTTGTTTGCTATGCATCAGAGAGCTAGACAATGACTGGAGATGATAAAAGGAGAATTTATGCCTTTAATCTGTGGTGCTGGAGAAGAGTATTGAATATATCGTGGACTGCTAAGAGAACAAACAGGTTTGACCTAGAGAGGGTGAACCTGGTCTGCTCCATGGATGCATGGAGTCTGAAGATTCATCTTTGACATGTTATACTTTGGACATGTTATAAGGAGGAACCAGTCCATGGAGAGAGACGTCATGCTTGAGAGGGTGGATGGACAGCGTAAGAGAGGAAGATCCTGATAAGATGGATTGATTTGGTGACTGGGGCAATGGTAGTAGGTATGTCTTATATAATAAGATTGGCACAGGATAGAGCAGGGTTTAAGGCCTTTGTACATAGGGTAGCTATGAGTCGCAAGTGACTCGAAGGCACATAACAATAACAACAACAACTTATCCCAAGTTTTGTCGATTGAATAGTTGTTACTGGGATAAAGGTAGGGTTTGGAGACTACATTAAATAGACAGCTTGCAGAAGGATTCTGATTGGAAAATGAGGTTTGTGAACTGCCCTTCCAAAAGGGCCACGTGCAAATGCCATGGGATGAGACTGAGAAAGAAAACCCTTGTCATAAAGTATAGACCAAACCATCCCCTCATTTTTATTAACAATAGCTTTGTCTTTCTGTTGTTGTTGTTGTTGTTTTCTGTATTTCAGGGTGCAAAAAAATAGTTTTAAATTTCAAATTAGACCACAACAAGATAAAGGTAAACAACCCAGTTGCAAAATGGGCATAAGATATGAACAGACACTTCACCAATGAAGACATTAAAATGGTGAACAAACACATGAAGAAATGTTTAAAATCCCTAACTCGAATAGAGATGCAAGTTAAAACAACTATAAGATGTCATCTCATCCCAGTAACAGTAACAAAGTCCAACAGAGCAGCAAACAACAAACGCTGGCGAGGTTGTGGAGAAACTAGAACCCTTATTCACTGTTGTTGGGAATGTAAAATGGTGCAACCACTATGGAAGGCAGTATGGCGCTTTCTCAAAAAGTTGCAAATAGAAATACCATTTGACCCAGCAGTTGCACTACTGTGAATATATTCTAAAGAAACCATAACTGCCACCCAAGCAGATATATGAACACCTATGTTTATTGCTGCATTGTTCACAAGAGCAAAGAGTTGGAAACAACCCAGTGCCAATCAACAAACAAATGGATAGAGAAGCTGTGTTATAATCACATAGTGGAATACTACACAGCACTGAAAAACAAAGAATTAGTAAAAATATTATACAAAGTGGGTGACCCTGGGGGATATTATGCTGAGTGAAATATATCAGTCACAATAGGACAAATACTGCATAATGCCACTGCTATAAAACAGGACTGACATGGGGGTGGGGGAAAACTAAGTAAAGAGGGTATAAATAATGTATACTGCATTAAAACAGATGAGGGAAGGAACTGTTTAAACAGAATGTATAATTAGGTATTATTTCCATGAAAACAGTCCAGAACAAGAGGTGCATAGGAGAGTGTACTGGGGACTGAGAAAGAGGGAGGAAATTGTGCAACAATGAATGAATTTTTTTTTCCAAAGAGAAAAGCAAACTGGAGGGGGTGGTAGGAAGGAATATATGCAACAATGAATGAATGGAAATCTAAGTTCTCTGTAAACTTCCACTAAAATCTCAATTAAAAAAATAAAGAAACAAACCCTTCAAATTAGAAATATGATAACTTAAGCTGTGACTTTTAAAAATGTACTTGGCAGCCAAATTTGTTCTTATATTGTTTATAAGTGACATTTAACTTGGAACATTTGCGTCTATAGATAGTAAAATTTCCATCCTTAGAAATAGAAACCACAGTTCAGTTGTTGGCTGTGGCTATTGTGCACAGTCAGGATGTCCTGGGGAAGGAGTGTGCCTGTGTGTCATTGGTGTCCACATTCCAGAGATAGACGTGAGGAAGGTGAGCTCTCTGCTGCCTCCAGGGTCTTTTTGACTTTGAGATAAAGCAATCTTTTGGATTTTGTTGCCCACCAAGATTATCCTTACCCTTGAAATTATGATTAATTACTATTTTACTTTGATGCATGAATGAAATAGAAAAGATTGTTTTGTGCTTGAGAAATTTGTTCTCAATCGACTATAAAGCAAAATAATGTCAGTTTTCTGTGGAGTGAATTTTAATGTTAACCTTATCAATCTTTTCTTTTATAGTTGCTGAGTTTTCATATTAGGAAGGATTTTTCTATTTTGAGATGTCAATAAGCATTCTCCTTAGTTTTCCTTTTTATTGTTTATTAAAGTCTTAGCTGTATTCTAAAATAGTACCAGAGGAGTGTCTGTTCCATTGATTATGCAAAGGAATTTGTGTAGATCACAACAAATTGTGGCTAATCTTGAGGAGAACGGGAATCCCAGAACACCTGATTGTGCTGATGCAAAAATTATAGCTGGACCTGGAGGCACTTTTCAGAACAGAGCATGGCAACACTGCATGGTTCAAAACCAGGAAAGGAGTGCATGAAGGATGCATCCTTTCTCTATAAATTTTCAATCTGTATGCAGAACAGATCATTAGGGAGGCTGGACTTTATCAGGAAGAATGTGGTATCAGGATTGGGGGGAAACTTATCAACAACCTACATTATGAAGATGACACAGTTTTGCTTGCTGAAACTGAGGAGGACCAGAAGCATTTGCTGCAGAAGGTCAAGGACTGTAGTCTTCAATATGGATTGAAGCTCAGCATCAAGAAAACAAAGATTCTCACCACTGAGCCAATTTCAGCTTGCTTGGCTCCACAATCAACACTCTTGGCACCAGCAGTCAAGAAATCAAAAGATGATTGTGTTAGGAAAATCTGTCAGGGACCTCTTCAAAGTGCGAAAGAACAGTGATGTCAGTCTGAAGACTGAGGTGTGCCTGAGCCAAGCCATAGTTTTTGCAGTTACTTGCTCTTTATCAGAGAGTTGGTTAGTTATGAAAGATGATAGAATAAGAATTGATGCCTTTGAGTTGTGGTGCTGGAGAACAATGTTGAACATACCATGGACCACCAAGAAAACAAATAGCTTTGTCCTAGAGAGGGTGAAACCAAGGATTTTGAAGCTCTGTCTCACAACTTTGGGCATGTTGCCAAGAGGGACCAGTCCTTGGAGAATGACATTATGCTTGGAAGGGTGAAGAGACAGTGTAGGAGAGGAAGACCCTGGATGACATGAATGAATACTGTTAACTGGGGTAATGGCGGTGAGGGATAGGTGTGTTGGAGACAGTGCGATTGGCTCAGGATAGGGCAGGATTTAGAGCTATTGTACATAGGATTTTCTGAGTCTTTGGTGACTCGACAGCATAACTTCAACAACAACAGTGGCCTAATGGGAAGGAACTGTGCTACCAATGCAAAGGAGGTGATTTGAATTCACCAGCTGCTCTGCAGGAGAAACATGGTCAAATATTAGCTTTAGAATTCATATACCTAACCAGGCTGGACAAACTAAGTCTTGTTGCACTATATCTGAATTGCTTGTTTATGAATAGATTTATTGGAACACAGCCATTCTACCTCACTTATATGTTTTCAATGGCTGCTTTCAAAGTACAAGATTAATGTGTGGGAATAGAGACTGGATGGCCTGAAATTCCTAAAATATTTACCTTCTGGAATGTTAAAGGAGACATTTCCTATTAAGCTGGGTAAAAAGACAGTTCTGGCAAATTCAACATTTACTTGTGCCATGGCCAGGACTCGAGGACACCCAACAGCAATGGACTTGAAATTTGAATGATCACTGCCCAAGGAATCCTTTCTATTAGGGAACTTTCAACAAAAATAATACATTTAATAAGGCATGGGGGACCGTTTTTGAAAAAAATAACCATGTCTTACCCATCTGAATCTTTGATTTGGAACTCTAAACTTCCTTTGTTTTTAAAATTCTCCCTGTAGTTCTAATGTGAATTCAAGATTTAGAACAATTTTGTTTTAGAGCAAAGGATGACTTTTTCTCCACTTGATTTCTTGCCTCTTGATATAAATGAAGTAGCTTGTGTGTTTTTATTTTATTTTGTTAAGAATTTTATGTTAGGTCAGATGCATATATGACTTCTGTTATTTGTAATTTATATTAAAAAATATATTTCTTGTTTCTACATAAGTGAGCCACGGTATGTTTTTAAAATGCCAGTAAGCAAGAGTACTTTAAGTGAGAGCTGTTTGGTGTAACGGACTTCATGACTCCAAGTCCAATTGACTTCACATTGAGTCCCTGTTTTTTTTTAATGTGTCTGCTATATGATGCATGGAGTAATTTGGAATGCCAGCTACTTGTATATGATTTTTATTATTTTCTTAAAGAACTTGAAAATATTGTCCATTCTATTTAGTAGGTTTTTCAGTATCTATATTTTATACTGCTTTTTGAAGTAAGATGATAGAGGTTTAGAGGAACAAATGCCTTTAAATAAAATTAAAATATATTTATCTTCATTATTTTGTAACTAACTTTTCCCTACAGCTGTGAACTTCAAAACAATTAATGAAGAAAATAAAAATGATACCTTCCAAGAGGTGTTTTCTTCTATTGAAGCACTGGCATTTACCTTTGGGAGGATGTAAGTAGAGAACTGTCATTTAAATATATTTGAGTTTAGATGTTTCAGTGAGAGTGTGCCACAAAATTCATTAAGATACATGGAAATGAAATAGTAAACCCTCAAAACTTTGGTAAAATTGCATTCTCTATTGTATTATTTCAGAAAGTATCTTTAGAACTGTTTGGAGTCTCTGGGTCAAAAAGGAGGTTGGAAATTCAAAGGCACCTCAGAAGGAAGGTCTGGCAAGCTACTTCTGAAAAATAAGCCATTGAATACCCTGTGGAGCATAGTTTACCCTGACACACATGGGGTCACCATGAGTCAGAGAGTTGACAACATTTGGTTTATAACTGTTTAGAAGCAACATTCATTTGTAGATGATTGTGTTGTGGTTGATGTGACTAGATTCTTAGGAGTTTCCTCTCTACCACTCTACCCCTGAATTTTTACTTCAAAAGAAATTATCCTTTGTGACATGTTGAATATAGTTAGTGACAAAGTAGTGTAATTAATGACTTTTCTTTTTGTTTCTTTCTTTTCCTCTGGGTAGCCTTACAAATTTCCTCCTGGGAGATTTAGGCAATGTGTCAGTATTGCAACTGCCTGTGTCTCAGGAATGCAAGGTAGGCTAAGTTTATGTGGAAACAAAGACTTACATTTTTAACTTAACAGTCAAGTACTTTCTAATCTTTATTTCGGCATTTTTAATCATTTTCAAGCTTGTAAATTACTCCATTATAGCAAAAAGACAAGATCAGTTTGATTTTAAATGATGATCATATTAGATGATAACCTATGATTAGTTTCTAGAGCAGTTATTTAATTGTATTTCTTAAATGGGACTATTATTTGAAAAGAATATATCTTATATTTTTATCATATTTATATGATGAATCTAAATGTCCTATAGTTCAAAATTTTAGTAATTCTTATCCATTTTCCCCTCTTTACATTATAACAGACCCTAAAGAGTGGTGGAAACTTGTAAATGCAAGTAGAGAAGGTGTTAATCTTTTCACACATTACATAGCTAATGCTTATTTACTGTGAAACACTTGTTAACAGCCTTGGAGGCTCTAATTCTCCCTAAAAATATCTTCAAAAGCATTGTCACAAGGCCAAGGATCTGATTCTCAACTGGAAGAAAAATTGCCATAGAATAATTGAACATGAGGAATATATATCAAATATTTCCTTAAAAATTAAGAGAAGTATTAATATTTCAATTGATTGGATTCTCCTACCAAACGCAAGCTATTTAAACAAACTGCAGTGTGTTAATCATAGGAGCATATGTTGATCATTTTCTAATAAGAATTATGAAATCCAGGAAGAATTTCACCAGATATTTGAAAATGTGTCAGGCATATGCTCTTTATCAACATAGTATTAAATATTTCATACCATCTCACCCCAGTAGCAGTGGCAAAGTTTAACAGGACAGCAAGTAATAAATGTTGGAGAGGATGTAAAGAGATAGGAACTCTTCTGTACTGTTGGTGGGATTGTAAAATGGTACAACCACTCTGGAAGGCAGTTTGGCATTTCCTCCAAAAGCTGAACATAGAAATTCCATATGACCCAGCTAACCCACTGCTTGGAATATCCCTTGAGAAAATTTAAACTGAGACACAAATGAAGCAGTGTTATTCATTATCGTGAGAACATGGAAACAGCCCAAATGTCCAACCACAATTGAATGGATTGAGAAATTATGGTACATTCACATGATGGAATACTATGCAGACTGCAGGAGCAATGATTTTGTAAATCACTATCTAACTTGGGAGGGACTAGAGAGCATTATGCTAAGTGAACTAACTCAGTTCTGCAAGGACAAATACTGTATAAGACCATTATTACAGAAATAAAAAAGATAACTAGTTAAAAAAATTCAAATAATCTTTTAAGTCATATAAAATATGAACGGCCACTGAGGGTATTTATTAAATGTGTTACAATATTGTTACAATATGATTATTATTATTCTGAAGCCATCCTTGGTTGAGTTGAGGAGACCAGTATATAAACTTTATTAGAGAAATGAAGAACTTTAAAAATCTTTATTTTGCATGAACTCATGATTTTTCCTTCATTTTTTTCCTCAAATAGTTACTGCAATTAACCAGAAAACAGGAGCTGGGGGAAACCCAGCCAACCTCTGGAAACGCTACAAACTCTCTTATAAATGTACAGAAATTATGTTAATTATAGAACAGAGTTCAAGTCTTCAGTGCAAAGCTTACTCTGAGTTATATTCGACTTGACAACACTTAACCACTGCTAAATGACACTAGTGCTGTTATATCTGGAGGAACATTCTTCCACTTTGCACATCACTCTTTGTCAGTGTGCTGTATAAGGTAACCTGGGTTTGCTGTGATGCTGAACCTTGTGCCATGGGGATATCAAATACCATAATGGTTTCCCAGTATGGGCAGTGTTAGGTGGAGCTCCCAGTTGTAAAACAGGTTGGGAAACAGGCGTGGCATCCACTTCCTAAACCACATGCCTCTGGAAACTCTATGAACTTAGAAAAACAACGGTAGCTATGGAAAGGCATTAGGTCTTTTGTTCATAGAGTCATTATGAGTCGACCTTGACTCAACAGCAATCAACAACAACAACTTCTAAGGCAGGATTATGAACAATTTAAAATTTAAATGTAAACAGTATCTATTCCTGTTATTTTGTTGAACATATAAATCTTGAAGGAATATTTTTCTGTGAACTTTTTTACTTCTTTTTTATGTTTTTAAATTTAGGCTAAAGGGTTACAGTGAAGAGACCCATGGAAATGTACTTTTACTAATAAAATTACTTCATTTGATAAAGGGTTTGCCATTTATTTAGGGAGCTCTGGTGGCTTACTGGGGAGAAGCTGCCCTACAATTCCAAAGGAACACAGTTCAAATCTGTCAGCTACTCTATGGGAGATGGATGGGCAGTATCTTCCCATGTGATTTACTGCTTCCAAAAACCTGCTGGAGGGTCAGCTATGGGTTGGTTCTGACTCAACGGCACACAGTAGCAACGTGTACCATGCACTGTACTAAACTTACCTCGTCTTGATTCTTAAAACAACCTGTCAAGATAGCATTCAGGAGCATGGATAACTCAGTGTTACTCAATTAGTATGTAGCTAGTGTGTAGTAAAGTTCTACTTCAGATTCAGATCTGTTTGATCCTACCTTAAATCCCTGAATACTTCATGTTGCCCAAATCTCCTGAAGGTAAATTCCTTTAAGATCTTACAACCACAGTAAACTGTATCTTTCTGCACTGTCAAATGAGATACCAGTAGGCACATAAAGCACTTTTCATTAATTAAAATGACAAATTTGCTTCTTATTCACACTGTTGTTGTTTGGTGCCATTGAGTCCCCTACGCCTTTTAGTGACCCTGTGAACAATGGATCTGAATTCTTCCCTATCCTGTGGTCTAGCCTCATCAGGTCTGATTTACTCAAGCCCAAGCCCTTTGAGACAGTCACTGCTGTGTCCCTCCAGCTCATGGAGAGACTTCCTCCCTTTTGCTGACCCTCCACCTTTCCAGGCGTGATCCTAGGCACTTTCAGGTGTTCAGTCGCTGCCTATGGCTAGCAGCTGCTGTGTTGGGCAGTACAAATAGAGAATATTTCCATCATCACGGAAAAGTTTGCACTAAGCTCTCTTATGGACTTTCAGAGAAATGTTTACCATAAAACAAATGGTGCCTGGAAGAGATCTGGATCTGATATTTAAATAGCAGTCTACTTAGATTGGTTCTCAAACTTACATTACTTTTAAAATCTGTGCAATTTAAAGTGCTGAAAGGATTCATTAATATTGTAGCTGATGTTAGATGGATCTTAGCTGAAAGCAGGGAATACCAGAAGAATGTCTATCTGTGTTTCATTGATTATGCAAAGTCATTTGACTGTGTGGATCATAACAAACTGTGGCTGACTCTGAGAAGAATGGGAATCCCAGAACATTTAATCGTGTTCATTGATTATGCAAAGGTATTTGACTGTGTGGATCATAACAAACTGTGGCTGACTCTGAGAAGAATGGGAATCCCCGAACATTTAATCGTGCTAATGCAAAACCTATACTGGGACCAAGAGGCAGTCATCAGAACAGAGCAGGGCAACACTGCATGGTTCAAAATTGGGAAGAGTGTGCGCCAGGGATGTGTCCTATCTCCATACCTTTTCAACATGTATGCACAGCAGATTATCCGAGAGGCTGGGCTCTGTGAGGAAAAGCATGGAATTAGGATTGGTGGAAGATCTATCAACAATCTGCATTATGCAGATGACACAACCCTGCTCACTGAAACTGAGGAGGACCTCATGCACTTACTGCAGAGGGTCAAGGACTGCAGCCTTCAGTATGGACTGAGGCTCAATGTCAAGAAGACAAAAATTCTCACCGCTGGACCAATCTGTAGCATCAGGATGGATGGTGAAGAGATTGAGATTGTTCACAGCTTCAGTTTGCTCGGCTCCACAGTCAGCACTCTTGGCACCAGCAGCCAGGAAATAAAAAAACGTATTGCAATGGGAAAGTCTGCGGTTAGAGACCTCTCTAAAGTACTCAAGAGCAATGGTGTCTCTCTGGAGACTAAGGTGCACCTGATATAGGCCATGGTATTTGCAATCACTTGTTATGCATCAGTGTTGGACAGTGACTAGGGAGGATAGAAGGAGAATTGATGCCTTTGAGCTGTGGTGCTGGAGAAAAGTATTGAATGTACCCTGGACTGCCAAGAAAACAAACAGATTCATCCTGGAGAGGGTTAAACCAGGCTACTCCTTGGAGGCAAGGATTCTGGGGCTTCATCTGACATACTTTGGACATGTTGTAAGGAGAGAGACAGGTCCTTGGAGAGGGACATCATGCTTGGGAGGGTGGAGGGACAGCGCAGGAGGGGAAGACCCTCTGTGAGGTGGACTGATTCAGTGACTGGGGTAATCGGGATGGGTGTGTCAGAGGCAATGCGATTGGCACAGGATAGAGCAGGGTTTAGGGCTGTTGTTCATAGGGTCGCTATGAGTCGCAAACGACTCCATGGCACATAACAACAACAACAATGCTATTAGTAAACAATGAGATTGTTCATTTTTGGACCTTGAAAACAACTGGTTGTAAAAGCTATAAAATTCTATAAAGTGTTTTAATACCTATTTAAATAGACTTCTCAGGCCCTTTGCCTGTTGAGTTTAAAATACTTGAAATTCTTTAGCAGGAATTGCGTTAGACTAACAGATTTGGGGAAGTATTTCTGAAGCAAAGATCTGTTATCTTTTACTCTAATCTAAAAAATTTCTTTTTTTTCATGTTTTAAGTCATTTGAAAATGTTTCTGTGGGATCAATTGACACATCTTGTGAGAAAGGTAATAAGTTGTATTTTTGTCATTCTTTTTGCAATTGGAGAAAAGTTTTGCAATTCTTCTTTCTTAGAAATCTAATGAAAGTCATTTTTAACATAAAGGGTTAGGGGAGTTTGACATATAGAAACCTTTCCAAAGTAGGTAAAATAATATGATGATACAAACTGATCAAGAATGTATTAGGGCTGCCACTTGATGAATAACAAAAATACATATTAAACGAAATGCATTCCTATTATAATAAAGCATTTTAACTTTAAATTATGACACTTTAATTCTAAATTTGTCAGTTTTTAAAACCAGTTTTCATTGAAGAAAGCCTTAGAATCTAAGTGCTTCTTTACTTAGAATTGTTACATGATTATATTTAAAATATACTGATCTTGATACTTTTTTTTTTTTAGGAAATTTATCTCCTATGGAACTAGACAATGCTCTGGTAAAGAACACTGACTGTGTAGAATTGGCTTTGTCATATGCTAAAACGTGGTCAAAATATACCAAGAACATAGTTTCATGGGTTGAGAAAAAGCTGAACTTGGGTAAGTTCCCTTTTGGGGCGTCTGATCAGCTTTGCACTGTAAGAACTAAGTTTTGTGAGTTTCACTTTGTACAGACTATGAGTGATGTTATTCCAGATTATTTGCGGCTGCATTGTAATGAACACATTGTCTATTTACTCTTCATATGTACTAAAAGTACTTATTGAACATTTACAATATATGGGTCAACTATTAAATCTAGAGCTATAAGGATAAATTATATTATAGTCTAGTAGTTAAAAAGAAGTAAAATCAGGATCATTAAGGAGATAAAAACAATAAATATACACAATGAAAATATAGGAAGAATGTCTTGATAGCTAATATTTTTCAAGTGTTTCACAACTGACTAAATATTTTCACATCTGGTCCTCCCAAAACCCTGAGAATTAGGACAAGAATTATTATTATCCTCATTTTTCCACTAAGACAACTAAAAGTTAATTTGTCTTAGTAACTGGAAGAATGAAAACTGAAACCTAAATCCTATGCATTATTTCTATCTCATTGTTTTCTATTAATAGGAAGTATCCATCAGAATCACCTGAGTGATTCTTATAAAGGACAGTACCCAGGCCTAAGTCCTGTTGTGAGAAGGATGTGATACCAGGCAATATTTTGTTCTTTTGTATTATAGGGTCTCTATTAGTCAAAACTGATTTGATGGTATCTGATAGTAACAGGTCCTTTCCTCTCAGTGCGGTGGTCTAGGCAAGTGATTTTGAAAGTTTCCCAGTTGGTTTTGATGACTTCCTTGGACTAATAAAAATCACTGCATTTATGTCACCATACAGTCCAGTGTTTATGATCACTTTTAAACTGGATAATGACAAATAATCAGAAAAGTAAATTTTTTCTTCTTACAGAATTGGAATCCACTAGAAATATTGTCAAGTTGGCAGAAGCAACAAGAGCAAACATTGGACTACATGTAAGAGTTGGTGAACTTTTGGATTCTGTAACAAGAGATTACTCTGATAAGTACCTGATGGTGCCCTGCAAAATTAGACATTTGTGTAATTAACATAGGAAAGCACTTAAATGCTAATCTTTTTAGTGGCTTAACAAAATCCTTTTAAATTTATATGAATATTCAATATAGGAAACAGAATTAACATATTTGTACTAATGTTGATCATCCTGATTGTCACAAATTTTGCTAACTAGTTTTATAATTAATTATTATTAACTTTAACTCAACATTTTTCTCATGTTTATGACTGGTCATTTTCTGAAAGAAAAATTGTATAAAAGAAAGTCATTCTGGGAAAGAGTAGTGGTAGGAACTTGAACTCTATTTTGGTTCTGTTACAAAATTTACTTTTTGATGTTAATTTCTAGGAGTTTATGCCATTAAAGTCGTTATTTACCAGTGCTCTTCTTAATGACATACAGAGCAGTCAACTTTTACAAGAAACAGTTGCAGCTCTCCAAGCTAACAAATTTGTGCAGGTAAAATGAATTTACTTTTAAAGCACACATTATTTTTTTTATAACAGCATATCTTGAAGAAAAACATTTTTTTCTTTAAATATTCTTGACAGCCTTTACTTGGGAGAAAAAATGAAATGGAAAAACAAAGAAAAGAAGTTAAAGAACTTTGGAAAGAGCAACAAAATAAAATGGTTAGTATGGTAACGGTGCTTCGTATGTGTGTGTATGATCACTTATCTGTTTTACTTCATAACATATTATCTCAACTATTTGGCAGAGTATGCCAAATCAGAAATTTTTCCATTAGGGTCTGTTTCATGTTTATTTTTTTTTCCTCTTGTGTGTGTATAGCTTGAAACAGAGACTGCTCTTAAAAAAGCAAAATTGTTGTGCATACAACGTCAAGACGAATATGAAAAAGCAAAATCTTCCATGTCCCGTGCGGAGGAAGAACTCCTGGCCTCAAGTGGAGGATTAGCAAAAAGTCTTAACAAGCAGCTAGAAAAAAAGCGCAAGCTAGAAGAAGAGGCTCTTCAAAAAGTAAGAATCTTTTTCTCTTATTTGCAAGTTGAATTAACAGTATGGCCTTGCTTATAAAACCTTTTCATGCATCAAGATCACTCAGAAGGCTTGTAGGAGTACAGGATTAATTGTGCCATCTTCAGAGTGTCTGCTTCAGTAGGTGCAGGATACTGACTGGGAGGATATCGATTGTACTTCTGTTAAATTCCCGGATGACACAGATGCTGCAAAAGGACTCCACATTTTGAGCACCACGGTGCTAAGAGACTCTTGCCTCTTGAAATTTCGTTTGTTCATGAAAGGAGAGCTTTGAAAACTATAGTAATTGAATATTATTTACTTGATGATTTAATAAATTTACTATTTTGGGAAACTGTAGGTGCTAGGGAGCTCTGGTGGCCTAGTGGAAAATAGCTTCACTGAAATCCCAAAGGTATTTGGTTTGAATCCACCAACTGCTTTGCAGCAGAAGGTTGGACAGTTTCCTCTTTCATGATTTACTACCTCTGAAAACCTGCTGGACGGTCAACTATGGGTTGGTTCTGAGTTGACAGCACACAACAACAACAACAACTGTACATGCTAATTCTAACATTGAAGGAGCTGTAGTGCTAATTCTAAAACAATTCTAAAGAATCTGTATGTCCTAATTCTAACATCCTGCAGAGTTCTAGTGGTACAGTGGTGAGGAGTTGTGCTGCAAACCCAAAGGTACATGGTTAGAATCCACTAGCTGCTGCTCAGGAGAAAGAGGAGCAGTCTCCTCTGTGTGATTTACAGCCTTGAGGGTCAGCTATGAGTCGGTCTGGCTCAGTGGCACATAACAACAACTAGCAATCACAAGGATAAGCTAAAACTTTGTTATTTTGGAACATAGAATTTGATAAGCAAACCTTTACGATTATAAGAAAATTAAAAATTTAAATGGTACAAGCAATTTTAGATAGAAGTGTTTAGTTTTACTTGTGCAAGACATAGTATTTAATTTCCTCTGTGATTTCATCTTTATGTTGTAGATAGTATACTAATTGTAAATCACACTTGGCTCTTCACTAAGGTCTTTGAATTTCTGAGCAAGACAGATAGTTGTATCTGTAGAAATATTCCTCTTAAAATATAGACTATTTCAGAATATTCATAAATAAAGACTTTAAAACAATTTAAATTTACTACAATGAGAGTTTGAAGATATGAATTCTAGTGACTGCTTTTATTTACATACTTTCTTAAAGGTAGAAGAAGCAAATGAACTCTACAAAATGTGTATGACACATGTTGAAGAAAGACGAAATGATCTAGAAAATACCAAGAGAGAAGTTTTAGCACAGCTCCGCACACTTGTTTTCCAGTGTGATCTGACCCTTAAAGCTGTAAGTAATTTCCTTAGGTTTTTGAAAACAAGAGGAAACACAGAAAGAAAGAAAAAAACCCAAACTATGCATCTAAACAATGATCTGTAGTGCTCCTAAGTCTTGATTTCTGAGATTACTGGAATTTATTGAGTTTAAAAACTGATTTTAAATTTTGAAGCAAAGATAGTATGTGGTTTGAGTTATGTTTTGATCTTATATACTATAAGTATATGAGAGTATTTTCAAAGAAACACTTTTTGGTTCCATTATTTTTCTCTATTTTCCTGCTTTATATTTTGCTCCTCAGTTTCTTAAGAGGAAAATTCAATGAGACATGCTCTTGTATATAAGTATTAAATTTCTCTGAGTACTGCTTATCTGCCCTACAGATTTTGAAATGGAGATTTACTTGTGCAAATCATGGTATTTCATTTCCCCTGTGATTTCATCTTCAGTGTATGGATAATATATGTGGTGCTTAATTTTCAAATATTTAAAATTTTTCTAGATATTGTTTTAGTATCATCAATTTCTAGAATTCCGTAACTCCATTATGGTGAAACAGATTTGCTGTGGTTTGTTTTATGACCCAGAATATGGTGTATCCTGGTAGTGTTCCATGTGTACTTAAAAACATATTCTGCTGCTGTGTGTTCTATATATGTCACTTAGTTCCTGTTGCCTTATGGTAGTTTTCACTCCTATGTAGTTTTCAAGATGATTTACTTTTATTTCTTCTATCAAATAAATAGTGTTGAAGTTTCCAGCAGAAACTGTGCATTTAAAGTTCTACAATTTTTGTTTTATGCATTTTGAAGTTCTTTTGTCAGTTGTAAGCAATGATGTTTATATTTTCTTGATAAATTAATTCAATTATTTATCCTTATGAAATACCCCTCTTTATCTTGGTGCTTTCTTTGCTTCTTAATCTCCTTTATTTAGTATTGACAGCCACTTAAGTTTTTATTATGATCTTTTTTCATACTAGTATCATAACTATCATTTTTCTTTTCTGTAAATAACATATATTTGGATGCTGATTTTGTTTCATTATTGCTAAATTATATGAGGTATTTGAATAGTTTAAGGAATGAATGAAGGCTACATGTAGACAATGAAAAGTTGTGCATACAGTTGGAAGTTCTATGTGCTTGAGTGAACACTACCAGAAAATACAGAGACTTAAATATCACTTGGGACATGATGCATTTCACTACTATTCACTTTTCATTTAAAAAGCACTTAAGATACACACTATACATTGGGAACCTAGAAGGAAGAATTAAATCCCAGGTCTACAAGAACAGATAGGAGAAAAAGATCAGTAGGCATGAGGACTTGAAGTACCACTGAGATGGGTCACCTTGATGGAGATGTCCAGGTAGTTCCATAAGATCTACAGTGTGAGGTATTGACTATTTCTTTCTGTAAAAGTAAGGGAGAAGGCTGAATGACTTGAGAAAGATTAATTTTAATTTTAAGTTTCAGTTATAGTTTGTAGCATTGTTGAAGTCTCTGTTACAAATAACCAGAAACAAACATATTCAGCAGATGAATGCCAGTATATGCATTGGGCTCCTTAAATAATAACAACTATAACTAGATTTCAAAAATTTATTAGAAAAAATTGAAATTTACAATTACCTTAAGGATAAGCTTACAACCATCTGGAGAATTGCCTGATTGTACCTATTTAGTCAATTACTGATTTAAAACTATACTATTGATAATTTGAGTATCTTTTGTTTCTTGAAGAAGCTAGGTAAAAAAATAAGCTATTATATTTATTATATGTACATTTCAAATATGACTTATGCCAAGCAATTTTCATTGGGGAAAGTCACAAATAAGCTACTGTAGCTATTTATATGAACATTCCAAATATGATTTATGCCAAGAAGTTTTTATTGGGGAAAGTCTGTCTTGGAATAGATTCAAAAGCTCATCAGAAGTCCTAGTATTCAGCTGGTGTGTCTAGAGAGATGAAGAAATATGACAGTGTTTGAAATAACCTGAAGCTAGTTAAAATGTGATATTCATGATCCTTGGTTTCCTAAATTCATTCCACACGATACAGAGTATCATTTAAAAAACAGATCACTGGTGGAACCCTGCTTAAAGTCCTCCTTCAACTTCCAAACTTACTGCCCTTGAATTGTTCTGACTCATAACAACTCCTCCAGCAGGATCCTCACAGGGCATTGAATAACTCTTATTCTCTGACTTGATTTTAAACCGAAGTTTAACCTCTTTGAATTTGTTTCACTCTTACTGACCTTTGCATCTGTTTAATAGGATGCTCTCTCTCCAAGTCACTTTAGCCCTAGGACCTTTGTACTACATTTTCCTTCTGTCCAGATTAGTCTTTTCCCTGAAACTTTGGAGTGTCTTGTTCTTAAATTAGGTCTCAGTTAAAATGTTTCCTTGTCAGAGATGCTTCCCCTGAACTAACAAGTCCAAATTCCTCTTCCAAAAGCATACATGATGTTACACTCTATCACTTGGTTTTCTTCTTTCTTACTCATAGCATTCTTCATTATCAGAATTTAGCTTATTTGTTTACTTGATTTCTTACCTATTCCTGCAACCACTTTCAGAATAGAAACTCTGAGAGCTCAAGTTTTTTACCCTGGACTTTACCCCACTAGTAGAGTCTCAAAGCTTAGAATGATTTCTAACATATATAGGTACTCAGATATTTGGAGTAAAAGGAATTATTTGTAGGAGTTGTTTGTCTCGTACAATATTTGTCTGCTGTATATGGTACATATTTTTTCTGTACTGTTGTCTTTTTAAAAAAACAACTGTGGATTTTTTTTATCTTAGGAAGCTACTGAATTTTGTGTAGACCGTATTGTTAATAGTTTAATTTGTGGATCATTGACTCAGAAGAATCTCAAGCAAATTTTCCCCATTCTAAGATTATTAAAAACATTATCCTATATTTTCTCTTAAATATTTTATGCCTTTATTATTTAATTTAGGGCCTTTAACTCATCTGAGAGTTCTCTTTTTACCTATTCTTATCATAATAATAAATGCTGTGGATCCAGAGTGCTTAGATGCACATCAGACCCCACCACAAGCTACACACGTGCTGTCTAGAACTTGGATAAAGTACGTGACTCTCCTGAGCCTCAGTGTTTTTATCTGTGAAATAGCTCTGCCTCCATCAAATAATTTTGTGAACAGTAGTTAATTCATGAGAAGCTTTTAGAATGGATGTGTCACTTTTTAAAAACTTGATAAATAGATACTATCATTACTGTTGTCATTACGAGTGTGGTAGTAGTAATGATTGTGTATTGAGACACTTGTACAATAATGTATTTGGCATCAATGGAATCATGTGTTTAGAATTTCACTCATAAATTCAGTCATTCCTGTGCAGTTGGATTCAACTTGGAGGTGACCTTGCAGCAGGTGTTTGGAGGCTGTAAATTTCAAGGAAAGAGACACCATCCTTCTTCTGCAAGGCAGCAGGTGGACTTAAGTGGCCAGACAACACAACTCCCTGCAGACTAGGCCACCAGAGTGCCCTGTCTTGGAAATGTCTAAGAAAATACTTCTAAAATATGAGCAATATGTTGTTGTTGTTAAGTGTCGTCAAGTCGTAGACGACTCATAGCAACCCTATGAATGAAAGACCTGAACACTTATATAACAGTGTTCAGCATCACAACAACCACTGTATGAGCACTACAGGGTACATTAATTATAAAGAGTTCTGTATTTCTGGTTTTATAGAATTAATGAAGTAAAATGAATTTTGTTCTGATAAGAATTTTCCACTACCTACAACCAGGAGAGGATAAAATAGATGAATAGGACCTTCTAAGAATCAAATCCCTGTGCACATCAAAAACTTCTCCAACAGGGTAAAAAGGAAAGCCACGGACTGGGGGAAAATTATTTGGTACTTACATATGTGATAGAGACTTATATCTAGAATTTATAGGATATTCGAGCACCAAAACAAGATAAAGGTAAACAAACCGATTGCAAAATGGGCACAGAATATGAACAGACACTTCACCAGACGTTCAGATGACTGACAAACATATGAAGAAATGTTCCAAATCTCTAAGAGAGATGCAAATCAAAATAATTATATCATCTCACTCCAGTAAAAATAGCAAAATTCAACAGACCAGCAAACAACAAACGCTGGCAAAGTTGTAGAGAAACTGGAACCCTTATTCACTGTTGGTGGGAGTGTAAAATGGTGCAACCACTATGGAAGGCAATATGGCACTTTCTCAAAAAGTTGGAAATAGAAATACTATTTGACCCAGCAATTCCACTACTAGGAATATACTGTAAAGAAACCATAACTGCCACCCAAACAGATACATGCATACTCATGTTTATTGCTGCTTTGTTCACAATAGCAAAGAGATGGAAACAAACCAAGTGACCGTTAACAAACAAATGGATAGAGAAGCTGTAGTATATTCAAACAATGCAATACTATGCAGCACCAAAAAAAAAAAGGAACTCACGGAATATTACACAGAATGGATGGCCTTGGAGGACATTATGCTGAGTGAAATATCTAAGTCACAAAAAGACAAATTCTGCATAATGCCACTGTTGTAAAACAGGACTGACATCGGGGTTAGGGGGAAACTAGAAAAACAGGAGATAAATAATGTACACTGCATTGAAACAGATGAGGAAAAGAACTGCTTAAAAGGAGTATATGATTAGGTATTATCTGTATAACAACAGTCCTGAATGAGAGCTGCATAGTAAGGTGGACTGGGGGTGGGAAACTGTACAACAATCAAAGTTGAGTGGTTTTGTGGGTTTTGTTGTGTTTTTTTTCACAGAGAAAAGCAAACCTGGGGGGAGGGGAGGGAGGAAAATGTGCAATAATGTACGAATGGAAATTTTTAAAAAAGCTCATAGAAATATGACTTACTCAGGAAGAATTAAGGAAGAAAATTGAGATATTTTAATACACAAGTAATGTTTAGATAATATGATGAAAAAATAGTTTCAAACCATGTAAATAATATTAATGAAAAATGTACCTTTAGTTCACCCTCCCTTTTTCAGAGCCAATCATTGTGATCCATTTAGTGTACATCCTATGTACATATACAAATAGACATTTTAATACATTAAAAAAAAATTCCCCCTTGTTTTTGACTTGAGCATTCAGGCATTTGTGGTCAGGTCATCAAAGTAAAGGAATGTGGATGTACAAATGTTCATCTCCTAAACTGTGAACCAGTAGGGAAATGTGGGTGTATTTGTTTTTAACTTTTTTTGTTTAAAGTCAGTTTGCTGGAAATTATTGATACTGAATATTAGATTAATACTTTTTTCCTGCTCCAGACCTTACAGAGTGTCAGGCAGTACAGTAGGCATACTTGAGTATTACATGCTTCAGTTTGTGCTTCTTTATTGATGCTGTTTCATGAAACCATTGTATTGATGGGATGTTTTGTACATCATGAGTTACTGTCCCTTTGTCTCTATCTGTGACCATAGGTAACAGTTAACCTTTTCCAAATGCAGCATGTCCAAGCTGCATCCCTTGCAAATGCCTTGCAGTCTTTCTGTGAGAGTGCCAAGATTTATGACCCAGGCCAAGAATATGGTGATTTTGTCACGGCCACAAATGCTAATGAAGAAGACAAAGTTGATGGGTAAGAATTAATCTATAACTGAAATTGTTACACAAAATGAAATAATTTACTGCTAAATTCCTGCCCAGTAAGAGGAAGTATCTTATTCTGATATTTGTAAAATTAACTTTAAAAATGTCATATTTTTGTTTTTCAGTTTCTAAGTACATATATTTAATGAGTAGATATAACCCAGAGTTTATAAGAAAGCTTTCCATTTTGACACAGATGTAGTTCTGCACAATTTAAAAAGAAATCATCTTTACCAATTTTTAAAAAACATGACAAGGCATTTTTTAATGTCTGTAATATTTAACCCCAGAACATTTGATTGTGCTAATGCAAAACCTATACTTGGACCAAGAGGCAGTCGTCAGAACAGAACAAGGAGACATTACATAGTTCAAAATCAAGAAGGGAGTCCATCAGGGATGTATTTTGTCTCCATAACTTTTCAATCTGTATGCAGAACAGATCATCCGAGATGCTGGGCTGTATGAGGAGAAATGTGGCATCATGATTGGTGGAAGAGTCATCAACAACCTGCGTTATGCGGATGACACGACCCTGCTTGCTGAAACTGAGGAGGACCTGAAATGCTTGCTGCAGAAGGTCAAGGACTGCAGCCTTCGGTGTGGATTGAGGCTGAACATCAGGAAAACAAAGATTCTCACCACAGGGCCAACTGGCAGCATCAGTATGGATGTTGAAGAGATTGAGATAGTTAACAGTTTTCATTTACTTGGTTTCACAGTCAACACTCTTGGTAACAGCAGCCGGGAAATCAGGAAACAAATTGCATTGCAAGTCGGCTGTCAGGGATCTCTAAATAGTACTGAAGAGCAACGACGTCAGGCTGGAGACTAAGGTGCACCTGATCCAGGCTCTAGTCTTCGCAGTTACGTGCTGTGCATCGGAGAGTTGGACAGTGAATAGAGAAGATATAAAGAGAATTGATGCCTTTGAGCTGTGGTGCTGGAGAAGAGTGCTGAATATACCATGGACTGCTAGGAGAACAAACAGATATGTCCTGGAGAAGATGAAGCTGGAGTGCTCCTTGGAATCAAGGATTCTGAAGCTATGTCTGACATACTTTGGACATGTTGCAAGGAGGGACTGGTCCTTGGAGAAGGACATCATGCTTAGCAGAGTGGAGGGGCGGCGCAGGAGAGGAAGACCTTCGATAAGATGGATCGATTCTGTGAGTGGAGTGGTAGTAATGAGTGGTTTGAGACGGCGAGGTTGGCACAGGATAGAATAGTGTTTAGGGCTCTTGTACGTAGGGTCACTATGAGTTGCAAGTGACTAGGTGGCACATAACAACAACAACAACAATATTTAACCTGTTTTACTTTCAACTGAGGTTGAAAATGAGAAGAATTTAAATAAAACCTGAGTTATTGATTCTACTTTTGTTCCACCTTTTTCATGTTTCAGTTGTATAATTAAAAGACTTTATTCATGTTTCCTATAAAAATTAATGGTACTAACTAGTATAATACAATAACCAACTTTTTGAAAAGTAAAATAAACCATAAGTCATTCTTCTTACTGAGGAGTTTTATTTGGACTTTTTAGGTACTTAAAGAAACAATTAACAGATAGTTCCCAAACTTCTGGATATGGGCCTGCCGACTCTCTAGAAGATGTGCATCTTCCTAACAGTTTTCCGAATGTTGAAGAGGATAGAAGCTCTAACAGTGCATATGTAACAGGTAGCTTTTTACCAGAGAGTGCTAATTTATAAAATAACCTAAATTGTTTAAATTGTAAGTGCAGTACCCATCTTACAGTAAGTATATCATAGGTAATTGTTAAGAAATCTGTGTGCTTTTTTATTATTTCATTAGCTTGAAATTTATCTGTTACCAATTTTGACATTTAATATGTTTTTTCATTAAAGGTCCTTCTTTCACAAGGTCTTGGGCATTTGGAATGTTTAGTGATTCCGAAAGTACAGGTGGGAGCAGTGAATCTAGATCCTTGGATTCTGAATCAGTAAGTCCAGGTACGTAAACATTTATCAGTGAAAGTGTTTTATAATTTAATTTAAAAAGTCAGATTTTTAAAAATATTTAACTACCTTTTCTTATGAACGATTTTGTCAATATAGAAATATACGTACATAAATATGTATGTTTTAAAGAAAAATAGAATGCTCCTATAAAGCATTCTCAGCTTTAGAAATACAATTTACTAGATTTTTAAAAGCAGCTGTGTTCAGCTCCTTGATGATAATGCCATATTTCCACCAGAGGAAATGATCATCCCAAATTATATTAATCATTCTCTGTATTTTCTTTGTTTTTATTACCTGGTTTGGAGGCTCATTTGTGAAGTGGTTGGATTCTGAAAGGTGATGTCTCTTGTCTTTGATTAGAGTCGGGTGTGGACTGTTTTGTTATTTATTTCATTCACAATCACGTGTGAGCTGATTGGATTTGCCAGATTTAGCTAACAATGAGCTGTTGGCTGGAAGCCTCTTGGTTTAGAGTCAACCAGGACCTGGTCGGTGGGCCTTGTATTTAAAAGGCTGTTGGGCCCTAGGCCTGTGGCCCTTGGGTCTGGGGTTTATTGTGTTTGGGATGTACATTCTTCTAAGTGGTACAGCACTGTTCTGTCAGTTTGCTTGACTGATCTTGGGAATCTGTGATGCTGAATGTTGTGCAACTGGTGTGTCAAATACCATAATGTCGCTCATAACAACAAGAACGTTTCAGAAAAAAACAAAAAGTTTAAAAAAAATTGTTGAGTCAAAAAATCAATAAAGAAATTAAGATTTCTTGGAAAAAAAAATACCGTAATGTCTCCCTATCATGGACAGTGTTTGGTGGAGCTCCCAGATGGATGCAGGTTTGGAAGCAGGAGTGGCATCCACTTCCTAAACCACATGCCTCTGGAAACTCTGGAACATAGAGAAATTATGATCGTTATTAGAACAGGGTTCAAGTCTCTAGTTCATAGAGTTGCTGTGAGTTGTACTTGACTCGATGGCACGTAACAACTACAACAATATACTATAGGTATACTGGTGGCCTAGTGGTAAGAAGTGCACTGCAGTTTTAGTCATGAATTTCAAATCCACCAGCTAGTTAATGGGAGAAGGATTTACAGCCTTGGTAAACTGGTTGTAGTGTTTATCTGCTATGAGTCTGTTCTGATGGAATAGCACATAACAAAAGCATAGTTTACATAGTTGATTTTTGCCCTCTTTTGAATGGCAGGCACTGTCTTGGTTATCTAGTGCTGCTGTAACAGAGCTACAACAAGTGGACAGAGTCAATGAACAGTTATTTGGAAGTCCACATTTAGGGTGCTAGCTCTATGGGAAGGCCAAGTGTTCCTTGGAGATGGATCATTCCTTGGAGATGTCCATGTGCCTTGGGCTTCCCTGCTGTCAAGGAGCTTCTTTGAACAAGCAACCTGGTCCTAAAAGCTTCATATTAGGCAATTCTCCCTTGATGACAGGGAGGTTCTACTCATCCATAGCCCTTCTTGGCTCACTTTTCTTCATTTTTATCTATAGTGAGGTGAAGGAAAGGTAATACAGGTCACACCCTAGGAAAACTACTCTTAAATTCATTAGGATTTTGATGAGATTAAGGGGTGTTGTGTTCCACTCCTCATTCTTTTACATATACTTAATTTTCTCAGATTATGGGAGATCAGTACTTGCTTCCACATTATATCGTTCATGCAAATCTTAGACTTGAACAAACAAAACACCCAGCAAAAAAGAACAAAAGAATAATTTAAAACTTGAATCATTACTTGACTAACTGACTTTGGTCCACCATATATATCCTTTTCACAATCCCCTTCTGAAACAATCCCCTTGTTAATTTTATTTTTGAAAAATTCCTTGCCCTTAATTCCCTGCCCTTTCAACTCTTGACTTTCCTAGTCTGTTCCTTACTACTTTGCTTTTACAAGTGGCTACACTTGCCTTCTGAGTGATTGAAAGAAACTTCACATCATCTTTTCCAAAATAAAAATAACAAGCTGACTGTGATACTTGAGACCAGAGCAGACAAGAACTTTTAAGGGAAGTCCAACACGTAAAGATACCAAAGGACAGTGGATGGTCCATAGTAATAAGAAACAACAAAAAAACAAACAGTAAAATGGCAAGAGGAAAAAAACCTGGCCTGTCAGTAATCACATTTAATAGGATTGGCCTTAATGCACCAATCAAGAAAAAATGAGTAGCAGAATTAAAAAGCAAAACCCATCAATATATTGTCTACAAGAGACACATCTACTTTTTATCAACTTTTTTTTATTAATGTTAATGAAAGTTTCCAGACTTTACATTCATTCATTGTTGCACTTTTCTCTCTGCCCACCCCTCCCCTGCAATTTGCTTTTCTCTTTGAAAAGGAAAAAAAAATAAATAAATTATTTCATTGTTATACAATCCCTCCCCCCAAGTCCACTCCACTGTGCAGCCTTTGTTCTGGACTCCAAGTCCACTCCACTATGCAGCCTTCGTTCTGGACTCCTGTCATGACAATAATGCCTAATCATATATCCCTATAAAAAGTTCTCTCCAGCATCTGTTTCAATGGAGTATACATTATTTATCCCCTCTTTCTGAGTCTTTCTTCGACTCCAGTGTCAGTCCCATTTTACAACAGTGGCACTATGCAATATTTGTCCTTTTGTGACTGAGATATTTCACTCAGCATAATGTCCTCCAGGGTCACCCATTTTGTATAATATTTCATGAGTTCCTTCTTTTTTAATGCTGCATAGTATTCCATTGTGTGACTACACTGGAGCTTCTCTATCCCTTCATTTGTTGATGGACACTTGGGTTGTTTCCAACTCTTTGCTATTGTGGAAAAAGCAGCAGTAAACATGGGTGTGCATATATCTGCTTGGGTGGCGGTTATGATTTCTTTAGGGTATATTCCCAGTAGTGCAGTTGTTGGGTCAAATGGCATTTCTACTTGCAACTTTTTGAGAAAGCGCCATACAGCCTTCCATAGTGGTTGCACCATTTTACATTCCCACCAGCAGTGAATAAGGGTTCCAGTTTCTCCACAACCTTGCCAGTATTTGATGTTTGCTTTTCTGTTAAATTTTGCTATTCTTACTGGGGTGAGATGATATCTCATAGTTGTTTTGATTTGCATCTCTCTTAGAGTTAAGGATTTTGAACATTTCTTCATGTATTTGTTGGCCTTCTGAATGTCTTCTTTGATCAAGTGCCCATGTCCTGTGCCCATTTTTCAATTGGGTTATTTACCTTTATCTTGTTGTGGTGCTAAAGTATTTTATAAATTCTAGATATAAGTACCTTATCAGACATGCCATTACCAAATAATTTTTCCCAGTCTGTGACTTCCTTTTTACCCTGTTGGAGAAGTTTTTGGATGTGCATAGAGATTTTATTCTTAGAAGGTCCCATTCATCTATTTTATTCTCTCCTGGTTGTGAGACACATCTATTAAATAAAGAAAAAGATAGACTCAAAATAAAAAGCTGGAAAAAAGATACCAAGTGAATGGCATCCACAAAAAAGAAGGAGTGGCAATACTAATCTCTCATAAAATAGACTTCAGAATGAAAATCACCATAAAAAGGAAGGGCACTATAAAGTGATTAAAAACACAGTAGATCAAGAGGATAGAACATTGGTCAACATCTATTTACCAAATGACAGAAATTCTAAATACATAAAACAACTGTTAACAGAACTGAAGAAAGAAATAGACAACACCACAATAGTGGTAGGAGACTTTAACACACCACTCTTGCCAAAAAGATAGGTCAACTCAAAAGAAATTTAAGAAAAATGTAGAAGGATTAGAGACCAAGAGAGCCCTGGCTTCTGTCAACATGTTACCACCGTTGGCCAAGCTGCCCTGCCGGGCGCATCAGTATTTTCATGCCTTGAAAATTAAGAAAAATTATCTACCTCTCTGGGCTGCAAGATGGTCTTCAACTTCTGTTGTACCTCGAATTACTACCCACTATACCATTTATCCCCAAGATAAGGACAAGCGATGGGAGGGGATGAATATGGAGAGGTTTGCCGAGGAAGCGGATGTAGTAATAGTTGGTGCAGGCCCTGCCGGGCTCTCTGCAGCTATTCGTTTAAAGCAGTTGGCTGCTGAGCATGAACAGGAAATCCATGTGTGTCTAGTGGAAAAAGCTGCTCAGATAGGAGCTCACACTCTCTCAGGAGCTTGCCTTGATCCATGTGCCTTTGAAGAACTCTTACCAGACTGGAAAGAGAAGGGGGCTCCACTTAAAACTACTGTAACAGGAGACAGATTTGGAATCTTAGCTGAAAAACATAGAATTCCTGTACCAATTCTTCCAGGTCTTCCAATGAATAATCATGTCAATTACTTTGTATGCTTGGGACATGTGTTGAACTGGATGGGAGAACAAGCAGAAGCCCTTGGTGTTGAAGTACCCTGGTTATGCTGTTGCTGAGGTTCTTTTTCATGAGTATGGTAGTATAAAAGGAATTGCCACTAATGATGTAGGAATACAAAAAGATGGTGCTTCAAAGACAACATTTGAAAGAGGACTGGAACTACATGCCAAAGTTAGAATTTTTTCAGAAGGTTGCCATGGACATCTAGCCAAGTAACTATATAAAAAGTTTAATTTGAGGCCAAATTGTGAGCCCCAAACCTATGGAATTGGACTAAAAGAGTTATGGATTATTGATGAAAAGCAATGGAAACCTGGGAGAGTAGATCACACTGTTGGCTGGCCTTTGGACAGATATACTTATGGAGGATCTTTTCTCTATCACTTAAATGAAGGTGAACCCATGGTAGCTCTTGGCTTGGTGGTTGGTCTGGACTACGAAAATCCATACCTGAGCCCATTTAGAGAATTCCAGAGATGGAAACACCATCCCAGCATTCAACCAACATTGGAAGGTGGAAAAAGGATTGCATATGGAGCCAGAGCTCTCAATGAAGGTGGTCTGCAGTCTATACCAAAACTTACCTTCCCTGGTGGGTTACTAATTGATTGTAGTCC